TCTCTCTCTCTCTCTCTCTCTCTCTCTCTCTCTCTCTCTCTCTCTCTTTGTGTATACATGATGTTAACATGATGCTGGAGATTGAGCTCAGGTCCTATCAGCCGAACTACATCCCCAGCCCTCAGTGTGGCTCTGGCATTCACTGAGAGGATGCCCTTATCTTAAAACTGACCTGCCAGCACAGGCCCTCCTCCCTTCTTCCAGCCCTGGTTAGTAACTTAAGCCTTGGGACAACATAATTGTTCAGATCCCGTCACTAACCCAGCTCAGATTCAGGAAGGGTGGGGTGGGCATAATTCTTCTGTAATCCGTTTATATGAAGCCAACTTCTTCCAAACCTGAGAGCCTGTCTGGGTAACTTGTTGATGAAGTGATGCTAAGAAAATCCTTAAAGGCTAATAGGTGTCAGGTTCTGGTTCCTGGTTCCCTAAGAAGACAGCAGCCTCAGAAGCATGTCAGATTTGCCACTCGATGCCAGGCACAGCTTCTGGGCCTGACAACTTAAGAGGGATTGTGGTAGGGCTCGGGGAAGATTAGGAGGAAGGAGAGATTGAAAAGATCAGTTCTACGCCTCTATCACTGGTTTTCAACAGGGCACAAGAACAAGGGGTTAGTTACTTACTGAAAACCTTAATGATGGGCTGGAGAAATGGCTCAGTGGTTAATAGCAATGGCTGCTCTTCCAGAGGTCCTGAGTACAATTCCCAGCAACCACATGGTGGCTCACAACCATCTGTAATTCCCTCTTCTGGTGTGTCTGAAGACGGTGACAGTGTATTTAAATATATAAAAATAAATAAATCAATCTTTAAAAAATATCTCAATGACATATCTCTTCTTTAAACTTTTTTTTAATCTAGTGTGTGTGTGTGTGTGTGTGTGTGTGTGCGCGCGAGTGCACACTCTTGGACATGTGGAGGTCAAAGGGCAGCCTTTAGGAGTTGAGTCTAGCTTCCCTCTGTTGAGGCAAGCTCTCTCATTTCTGCTGCCATGCTGTCTAGTCAGGTTGGCTGTTGAGCTTTTAGAGTCTCCCATCTCCAGGTAGGAGGGATGGAATTATAGATATGCACCACCACATTCATCTTTTAAAAATGACGTATTTATTTGTGCATAAGGGTGTGTGGGTTCTGTGCACGCCAAGACACATGTGTGTAGGTCAGAAGACAGTTTGAGGGGTGGGTTCTCTCCTGTGACAGTTCTGGGGTCAAGTTCAGATCACTAGGCAAGTGTCTTTACCCCATAAGTCATCTTGTCAGATACCACATCTGTGTGTTTTTGAGACAAGGTCTAGCTAATAGGATCACAGAGGTCAGCCTGCCTCTGCTTCCCAAGTGCTGGGACTAAAGGCGTGAGCTTCCTTGCCCCACCTACATCTGGTTTGTATTGAAGGGTTGAAATTGCATTGTCAGGTTTGCCTGCTGATTCCTTTCTGGCAGTTTGAGACAGTGTCTCATGCAGTGCAGGCTCATTCAGTATGTAGTCAGTGATGACCCAAGCCTCCTGATCCTCCTGCCTCCACCTCCCAAGTGCTGGGATTCCAGGTGTGTGTCACCATGCACCATGTTAATTCCAGGCTGTGGTGTGGCTTGACTATCACATAAGGATAGCAGCAGCCTTTCCACTATGGCAGAGGACCTCCTGGGTGTGGAGTGAGTCGGGAGCTTGTTTTCTACTCTAAAGCCTAGCACAAGCAGTGCTTACAGTGTGGCATCATCTCTACAGATGGTGCTGAACCCCTAAGAATGTTCTAGAAGACCTTTTCTAAAATGCTAAAGCATTTAGATAATGTCCTGACTCGGTAGAGAGGAAGAAGTGTGAGGGGGAAGACACTCTCAGGAGGGCCAGCTATGCCTTCTGATGCTCTGGGACACTGCCGTCATCCTGTGACAATCTAACCTCATGACTCCATATGACACTTGCTTGGCACTAAGTGTGACAGGCACAGCGTTTGGCACTCTAAGGACATCATCTCCACACTGTGATTGTCATACTGAGATAGGTACCATCATCACCCTGATGTTACCGAATGGGAAACTGAGTCACAGAGAAGTCATGTGATGTGGAGATGTTGTCCAGTGACCCAGAACACCGGAGTCTGTGGTCAAAGCCACAGTGCGAACCACTGGGCCGTCTGCACTGCCTTTGTACACTGCTGGGTCTGCACAAACTGGATGTAGACGTCAGCATGTGTGAACTCTCATGCCACAGGCTAACCTCAGCCTCACCTCCTCCTCCATCCCTCACACTGCAGTGTAACCACCACTCTAGCACTATTAAGAAGCAGGACCTCAGGCACAGTGGCACACACCTAACCCCAGTACTCGGAAGTCTGAGATGGAAAGAGTGTGCTGCAAGTTTGAGGCTGACATGGGCCACAGTGCCAGACACTGTTTTAGGAAACACAAACAAACAAACAAAAAACAAAACAAAAAAACTAACAAAAGCCGAAGCAAAATGACAAAGGAAGAGGTGGGTCTGTTAGGAGGAGGCCTGGTTGTGGGTCCTCCTGGTAGGAGCTGTGCCATTCTGTCAGGACTGTGTTTGTTACCATGGTGTGCATCTGTCTGACTCCAGCCTCTCCCCCCATCTGTGTCTCACACATCCTTGCCCTTCTGCCATGCTACGAAGCAGTGCATAGACCCTACTTGATGCCAGTACCATGGCCCTGTACTTTGCAGTCTCCAGAATTGTAGACAAGGAAACCTATGTGGTGGTTTGAGTAGGTTTGGCCCTCATAGACGTATGTGTTTGAATGCTTGGCCCATAGGGAGTGGCACTATTGAGAGGTGTGGCCTTGTTGGAGGAAGTGTTTCACGGTGGGGGCAGGCTTCGATGTCTCCTATGCTCAAGCTCTGCCCAGAGTGGCACACAGTATCCTGCTGCTGCCGTCAGATCAAGATGTAGAAGTCTCAACTCCTTACCCAGCACCATGTCTGCCAGTAGGCTGCAATACTTCCTGATTTGATGATAATGGACTGAACCTCCAAAACTGTAAGCCATCCCCAATTAACTGTTGTCCTTTAAAAGAGTTACCTTGGTCATGGTGTCTCTTCACAGCAATGAAACCCCAACCAAGACAACTTCCCTTACTTACTTAGACTGGGTTACTTTGTTATAGTTGCGGAGAACAGAGTAGGACACCAGTCCATTCAGGATTTGTGTTGATTGAGATAGGGGACTTGAAAAAGAGATCCTGAAGTCATCCAAGATGGTCCTTATGCCTGAGAAAACAAGACTGGACTCCCAACAGGGCATGGTGGCACACACTTGTGATTTTAGCACTCAGGAAGTGGAGGCAGGAGAATCTTGAGCTTAATCTAGACTGTGCATCAAGACCTGACACACAAGTGGACGTGCACCTTTAATCCCAGCAGCTGAAGGCAGAAGCAGGCTGTCTCTGTGAGTTCCAGTCCAGCCAGGGATACACAGTGAGACCCTGTCTCAACAAATGATCAGACACATATACACAAAAGACAAAAGACTCAGCTCCAGTTGACTGTGCTTTATGTATTCTGCTGACATCTGGTCCACCGAACTTTCCAACCCTGCCTTCCCTGGCCCTGCTCTCTCAAGACTTTTAAACACCCAGAAGTGGTGATGGGGTTATAGCTGGTCACTTTCCTAAAATGCCCCCTCAGCCTTGTGACCCCTGAATCCAGTACTTCAGAAGAAATGCTAAGAGGCCTACCAATACTCTAGACATCAGGGCTGGCAGGACCATCTTAGTAGTTGCCTGCTGGTGACTGTGTGGATGGATATGGCTCTCCATTGTTTGGGTAGTATTCTGGATATGCATCTCCATTGTCTGGGTGGTATTCTGCCAGGATGTAGAGAAAGCCACCCAGGGCTGCAACTGCAGTGGCTGTGTTGTGGCAAGAACAGCCATCTGTTGGGTAAGAGGAGGGAAAGGTCATGGGAACAAACTTGGCCGTTTGTCCAATACAGTCCATCATAAATGTTATATGAGTTTCCCCCAGCCAATCATCCAGATGCTGATGTTCTGTACAGAACTAAGATGGCCATCATAGATGCTGACTTTTGCTCTTGTCTCTCTACAACTAAAAGGCTCAGGCCTGTTTCCAGTGAGAACAGACAGGTAGGAATAGTTCAGTAGTAGAGCACTCAGCAAGGAGGCCCAAGGTTTTATCCCCTGGTACTGGGCACGGGGGTGGGGGGGAACAACCACCACCAAGCAGGTGAAAGCCTTGATTGTTTGGGTGATGGGTAAGGGAGCCCCTCGGGTATTAGTTACCTGCGAACAGTTTTTCCCGCCTTCGCACTCTTCTCAGAATGCCCTGCTCTTGTGGAACTTCAGAAGGTTCACCCTTTGTATCTGGAGAAGAGCCAAATGTGAAGTTCTCGGGGTAAACTTTAAACACTCACTCAATATGCCTCTTCCCCTCTGACCCCTCAAAGGGCTCGGATAGTCTAGGTTTCTGCTCTGCCTATCTGCAGATCCTACCTTAGGGCCACATTTGTCCTCTATCAAGTTCCCCCCTACATCAGAACCCCTAGGGGGGCTCCTAAAAAGTGCAGAGGTCTACCCTGCCTGATCACTCTTTAAATGTTGGGCTCAGAGCTCTGCATTCTGGAAAATATTGTAATATTGCTTTTGTTTTATTGAGACGTGGGTCCGTGTAGCCCTGGCTGCCCGGGACCTCACTCTGTAGACCAGTCTTGTCGTGAGCTCACAGTGATCCACCTACCTCTGCCTCCCAAGTGCAAGGATTAAAGGTGTGCACCACCAGGCAGAGCTGTTGGTTGAAGAAGGGGCTCAGCTTCGGCCTCCCAAGCATTGGTGTATAACAGGTGTTGTAACCGATGGGAGTCTCTCTGTTTTTGAAATTTCTTTCACTTATTTTATGCTTTTTTAATTTTATTTTTTATGCTATTTTATTTTTATGCTTGTGGTACTTGGGATTGAATCTGGGGTCTTAAACATGTGGGCCTGCACTCCACATTTTTCTCTTTTTAAAATTATTATTGGAGCTGGAGAGACGGACCAGAGGTCAAGAGCACTGGCTGCTCTTGCAGAGGATCCAGGTTTGACTTCCAGCACCAATGTGGCAACTCACAACCATCCGTAACTGCAGTCCTAAAGGCACTGAGTCCCCTTCTGGCCTCTGGGGGCACTGTATACATACAGTGCACAGACATAATATATGCAGGGAAAACATTTGCACATATAAAAATAAATTAAAAAATAAAATTACTATTACATTCAATTATTTGTGTGTGAATGTGCATGTGTTTGTATGTGTGTGCGCTCATGTGTGTGTGTGTATGTGTAAAGGTCAGAAGACAACTTGTGGGCAGCTTCTACCATGTGAGTCCAAGTTATCAGATTTGGTGGCAAGGAAGGGCCTTTATACCCTAAGCCTTCTTGAAGCCTTGTCCCCTTTTAAAAGTGATATTTTGAGGCTCAGGCCAGCCTGAAACACACTCTAAGGCCTTGGACTTCTGGTCCTCTGACCTTACTCTCTTCAGAGGCTAGGATGACAGGGCTGCATCACCAAGCCTTAGCGCATCACCACGTCTTAGCTTTCCCTTTGTCTCAAAGGCAGTTGCTGCTTTAAGGACCCCAAGCTTCTTGAGAGAAATTCTGGCATTTGCTGGGTACCTGTCCTGTGGCAGGCACAAGCTAGGGGTCATGGAAGGAAGGTTCAAGGAAGGTAAATAAATGATTTACGGTCATTATTAGACCAAGGACAACATGAGGTCACATGTCACAAGGTTGGAAAGCCTCATCCCGGGATTCTTAATTGTGTGCCCCCTCCTGGTGGTCTTCCCTGATAGCTTCTGTCTAAAGAGCCTTCTCCAGTGTTCTGTGCTTTCTTGGTTCTTGGCTGAAGTTGTCATGACCATATCTGCTGGTGTGTTGATGGGGTCTACCCTTTTCCCACAGCTCTGACTTTCTCTGGCACACAGATAACGTCTGTCTGGCACGTTCACAGATACTCAGGGAATGCTGAAGGAACGAATTTGTTAATGCAAGTGCAGCGAGTCAAGCTTCCCCACAGATGGCTTCCCACTGGCTGAACTGAGTTCTCAGAATGCCAATCCCTTCTACACCCATGTGTGTGCTTGCTTGTTCTAAACCACCATTGGCTTTCAGTGCCAGGACATCCTTTTCTTGAATGATCCAGAAACGGACCCCACCAGACAATGCTCCCAGCTGGGGCAGACAGGCAACTCACCAGGCTTCCCGAAGCATCCGACCTCGGGGTTCTGCCAGCTGAGAATGGCCTCCAGCCAGCGCAGCTTGTAGAAGTCAGAGAAGCCGGCCATACCACAGAACATAACTGTAAACACACCAAAGCACATCTGTCGGCCTGTTTCCACCTCCTCCTGTGTCCCTGGACCACCACACAAGGGGGTGTTTAAGGGATTTGTCGGTCTCTGCTTCCTCTGCTCTAGGATTACAGGGCCTGGCTTCTCTTGACCACCAGAGGCTGCTAGGCCCTGGTCCTGCCTCTCCTGTGCTATCATGGAGTTGCTGGAGTCGGGCTTGGTGGAGGTGTTAGGATGTCCCAGCAAAGCAGCAGGCACCCGGGGCTTCCCTTTCTATTTATCTCCAGGATCTTGGGGGGGGGGTCTGTGTGCCAGCTGATCAGTCTGTCCAGAACCCCCCCCTGTTCTTGATGGACTTGGTGGACAAAGAACACACATGACAAGTAGACACACAATGGTCCATTGCAGTTAAGCCCCTCATAAGCAACGTGTGCAAGTATATGCGGTAGCCAGAGGTTAGGTACGGTGTCAGTCCTAAAGAATTGCCCACCTTATTTTTTATTGCATTATTTAGTTTCTTACGGTGTGTGTAGAGATCAGAGGACAGCTCATGGGAGCTGCTTCACTTCTTCCTCTAGATGGATCTCAGGGACTGAATTCATGTGCACAGGCTTTAAGGTGAGCAGCTTTTGGTTTTACTCCCTGAGCCATCTAGCCAGCCTCACCCTATTTTTCTAGACAGGGTCTCTTGGAGGGACCTTGGACTTACACATTCACTTAAGCTGGCTGGCGACCAAGTCCATGGGTTCCACTTGTCTCTGCCTCCCCAGTGCCCCCAGGATCCACCTGTCTCTGCCCCTTATACTCTAGGATTACAAGGTGTGTCATGTGTCACTATACCTCATCTTTTCACAGGAGTGCTGAGAATCAAACTCATGTCCTTACGCTTGTGAAGTAAGCCCTTTACTGACTAAGCTATTCCCCAGCCCTGTACTCTCTGTGTTTACTTCCTTAACTTACCAATCTTGGGTGTGAGCATGCAGCCCCTTTGTCAAAAGCTCTCTACTCTACCCTGAGGTTAGAAGGCCAGGCTCACTGTTTTCCATGAAGAGGTCCTGGGTGGGGTAGGCATATCCAATGGCCTCAGCTCTCTGGTTCAGGTCCATCATATTGGCACAGAAGATGTCCATGTAGCGCTGGCTCTGGAGGAACAGCCCCTCCGTGCACCCTTGCTGGGGGACAGACAACAAGAGACACGCAAGTGTGTGGGAGACACATGCTCAGTCAGGAAGGCCTGCAGCTCTGAGCTGATCTTGCTAGGGCTGGGTTGGGAGGAAGGTCTCTCCTCCTTCCCCACCACACCCACTTTGCAGGTCACTGGAGTGAGCTCACATTCAGGCTTGGTCAGGAAGAGCCGAGTGACAGTGCCTCTCTCATTAGCCTTTCTGAGCTTCAGAGTCTTTTCAGAAAGGAAAGGCCATGGAAGTGTGTCCAGCTTTTTGACACTCTGAGCTGCTGCCATCTTCACAGGAGAGTTACAGAAGAATCTCAGGCTTTAGAATGTCTTGAGAAGGATGGCAGTTTCATGTTGTGCTGCACTCATAGGTTGGACACTAGTGGTAGGGCTTAGACTGGAGGGCATTTTGTTTGGTGGGCAATGTGGCAAGACAATGCCTGGCATGAGGACAAACACTGGGCAGCGCTCTGCAGATATCAACCTCTTCCTTGAGGACTTCTGTGAGGAAGGCAGCTCCAAGGGCTTCTGGGAAGTGTGGCTACACAGGGTCACCATGGTGGTGATGTGGGAGGGGGAAGGGAGCCACAGAGAGTCACCATGCCGTGCGGTGGGAGGAGGAAGGGAGTTGAGAGTCACCTTGCTCTCTCTGTACAGCACTCACCATTCTGGCCCAGAGGAAGAAGAGCAGCTGATGGGAGAGGCTGTAGCCTGAGCAGCCGGCCTTGGTCATAAGGGTTCTGCAGAAGTTGGAGAGCCTGCAAGGCTGGCTGCTGTCTGTCCTGGGAGGAGACAACCCAGGCTGATGAGGACAGTGCTCCTTGACCATTCCACCCCGAGTCTGGCCATCCTGTGTTTCCCTCAGTGATTGTTAGGGTGAAGGTTCTGGGCTGAGCATAAGGGTTGCCAAATAAAACACAGATGTCATGGGCCTTACTTTGTTTTGAGACAAGGTCTCATTCTGTAGCCTGGTCATCCAGCCTCAGCTTCCTTGAGTGCTGGGACTACAGGTATATATACCATATGACACCATGACTGGCCGTGTCCTGGTCTTGATCTAGCTCAGAGGAGACCATGCTGAACTGTCTTGGGCTCGGATAGGCACTAGTGTCTGACTTCCTTTCGCTCCATGGAGTCCCAAAGTATCTTTCCTATCAGTCTCCTAAATAAAGGACCGTTCAAACCCAGCAACTCGGGGAGTATGGTCTGGACTCAATACACTTGCTCATACTCTGACAATATAGGTTACCATCTAGAGTGCAGCCCCTTTGTGGGTCACCTGTGGCTTGACACCTTCTCTGAAGGAAGCTGAGAAGATAGTACCCTCCCATTCCTGGCCCGCCCCCTGCACTAAAGTACCCTAGACCTTGATGCAAGCCCATCAGCTGCAGAAGGAAATAGGGAGTAAGACTATGTTTAGTATTGTCTTCCTGGATCCACGGAGTCTGTAAAGAGCCCCCAGAGGCTGAGTGGAAGGTGCATGAGGCCTGAAAGAACTGGCAAGGACTGAGGTTTTGTCCTATGTGCAGAGGGACTCAGAGAAAGCCACTTTGGGGAGGAAGTCAAATGCTATGGTCCAGAGAAAGTGAAACTGGACTCTGAGGAGCAGGGCGGGAGAGGGCTTCTGAGTGTCCATGCACATTCATCTGTATTTGTTAAAGGCTCTGTCTGTGGCCAAGGGGACACTATGGGGCTTTCAGGTACTGAGGAGGTGGGGGACCCACCCGGTTCCTAGCAGTTGTACCAGGCACGCATCGCTGCTTTCCTCTGAGAAAGAGTCCAGGGGCTCCAGCCAGGGGTAGACCAGGGAGGCATTGGTGCGTGTCCAGGCATGGGGTAACTTCCAAAACCCAGGCTGAATGCTCGGCTGGAACTCTGCAGAGGAGAGGTAGCCAGTGTGCTGAGTGCTCAGGGACCCAGAGCTACAGCACTGCTCATTATCCCCAGCCCAGAAAGTGCAGGCTCCTCTGTCTTAGCTGGAGTTTCTACTGCTGTGAGAAAACACAACAGCCCAAAGGAACTTGGGGGAGGAAAGGGTTTATGTTAGCATACAACTCTCAGGTTGTACTCCCTCACTGAGGGAGTACAGGACAGGGCAGGAAACTGGAGCCAGGGGCTGGCACAGAAGCTGTGGAGGGGTGCCTGCTCAGCCTGCTTTCTTAGAGCACCCAGGACCTCTCCACCAGGAGTGGTACCACCCACAGTGAGAAGGGCCCTCCTCCCACACCAACCAAGAGAAATCACTACACACTCTCCTTCAGGCAAATCCTACGGAGGCACTACTCAGGGTCCTTCCTCCCAGGTGACTCTAGCTTTTGTTAAATTGACATTAAACTAGCAGGACACCCTCCCAGAGACCTAAGCCCTCAACAGGTGGCAGCTCTGTCCGCATCTTCCCTGGATTGAGCACATTTGAATGATACCAGTTACCTTTTTTCTGTCAGATCTCGTGTAGCCCAGGCTGGCCCCAAACTCACTATATAGGATGACCTTGAACTCCTGGTCTTCTTGCCTCCACCTCAGCAAGTGCTGGGATTATGGGCATGAACTACTACGGCTGATTTATACATTGCTGGGCGGGAACTCAGGACTTTGTGTGTGTTAGGCAAGCACCCCAGAACTAAGCCACAGCTCTAGTCCTCGGTGCCCTTTTCTAAAACAACAACATTTCCCCTAATCAGCAGGGTGTAGGATTTGCCTAAACACACAGACCCCAACATCAGGCATGTATGTCGTTATCTCTCTCTCTCTCTCTATCTCATCTCTCTATGTCTCTATCTCTCTTACACATAATTTTTTCAAATATTTAAAGGGAAGCTGTTATGACCCTGAAGTGCACAAAGCCTCTCGCTTCCCAGGGCCGGAACATTTTCCTCATCAGTAGCAAGGATTTATGGACAAGCTTTGCCATGCTCCACAGCATCCCTCAGAGGTGTGAGGTGTTGATAGAAGGCCCCAACTTCCTGGGTGGGGGTGTACGGTGGAGTTCTTATGATGGCCAGTCAAGGGCTTCTGGGAGGCTGGTGCAGTGGTAAGGGTCGGGTCTCACCACTATACAGCTCCATCTGTGCAGGGAGTCTGTGGGGGAGGCTGAAACCATCCATGCTGCCTGGAAGAGATTGTGACCTGTCAAGTTGACTACAAATCATCCAGCGTGCTCGTTGGTTCCAAAGGACCAGGAATAAGACAGCTCTGGCAGACAGAGAAAGGGGACACAGATGGATGTTCAAGGTGACAAACTTTCAGCTTCTGCCTCACCTTCCTGACCTGACACCAAGGCCAGGTAGCTTTTCCTCCTGCCTGTGAGGCCTCCCTCCTGGCTGGCTGGCCCAGGCTGCTCAGATATGCTAAGACTGGACCAGGTTATGTTTACCCAAAGCTAAAGTAGAAATTTTTGGTTTCTTTGGAGACTCAGTTCTATCATGTGATGTTTTTCTGGAAACTGTCCTATGGGAGGATGTTTTTGTTGAGGCAGACACACAGGAGGATGTTTTGCTAAGAATAGACACATGGTGTTTTTCTGGAGGCAGCCTGGAAAAACAACATGTGATGCTTTGCTAGAGCAGATGCTTGAGAGAACACATGATGTTTGGAAAGGGTATAAATATAGCCCAACAAGCAGTGGGTGACACTGGATGGTGTTAGTACACTTTCCCGTTCTTTATCGGGCTTTGATGATGCTGGTCTTTGCTGCTGATGTTGGGTAATATTGGTAGACCTTACCATTCTTTGTTGGTTATCATTTGTTGTGACTTCATAGAGAGAAACACACACACACACACACAAACTTCTGGTGGTGGTCTGTCGGTTTGCCACTGCCTCGGGCTCAGGCCAATTGGCAGAGCCTTGTGGTTTCTTCTGGATTGACTTGCCATTGCTGATTCATGAGTGGTGTTTGCAAGTGGATAGAGCTGCTGATGGTGGTTTGTGTGAATTGAACTGCTAATATCTTGATTATGCAGATTGATTTGCTCCAAAGAACTAGTCTTACAAGGGGGCCACACCTCTGTGTACCTTGCTGTGTGCACACTATTAGCATTTAGCCTGTTGATTCTGCTGTCTGAAGTTTTTCTCTGCTGCTACCTGTTGTGCTCCAGAGCTTTCTTGCCCATTAATTCATTTTTTAGTGGAGAAAATGAGTGTTATGTAGACCTCTATATGGTAACAGTTCCAGCTTGTCATCTGTACTGCACTGGTTTTCAACAACACAGCTGTCTTTGAGTCCTCCATACTCCTGAGAGTAACCCGTTATCCATATTGCTGGGAGTAACCCTGATAAACTCACTGGTTCATTATCATTATTTTGACTGGTCATCATTCCCCTATGTGGGGGTGGGCTAGATAGACATTCATGTCCCCCTAGGAAAAGTGTCACACAATAGGCACTGGAGTTACACATGCCCCCATCCCCACCAGGAACAGATGAGTCAGAATTATAGGTTGGAAGTCTCTGTGAGATCCGTAAAGGGGGGGGGAGAGGTGATAGACTTTTTTTTTTTGATACAAGATACAGAGTGGTACGCATAAGGTTCTCTGTGCAAAGTGATGAGGACCTTTTCAATACCTCAACCACAGAGGCATGCCACCTCAGACCTGCTTGTCTGGTCTAGGATGGGAAATCTGGATTGAAACCAGGAAGTGGGTAGCCTGTGCCTTCCTGAAGACTGGTGTGGGCTGTGTGGACCCTGCCTTGCTTCAGGAAGTGCTCATATCTAGGCAAGTCGGTGAGCACCCAGGATGCTGCCTTTGATGCGATAGTCCCGCCCTGCTCTTACCTCTTAGGTATGTGGGGTCACTCTGCTTGAGGTAGAAGATGGATTTTTGGAGGAGAGCAGACAGTGTGTTGGCCAGCTGTCCAGTGCGCAAGCTGAGTGGCTGCAGCAAGGGGTTGTGAGTCCATTTTTCCTGGACTCCTCGAAGTTGCACTGAAAGAGGAGGTTGGAAGTCATTCATTCCAACATCTGACCAAGCACAGAAGCAGAGAAAACACCTGAGATCCTACTCATGGCTCAGCGTGGAAATGAAGCTTCTATAAAGCTGATCTGGGCTGTGGCTGTGGCTGAGAACTTATTCTAGGACTGGGCTTGGGGTCAAGTCTGGATTTTGTATGCTTTCTTTTATCATTTGACCCTTTATCAAAGGGTCACTTAATTTCTCTTCCTTCATCATCATAAAATATGACTTCTTGGGGGCGGTGTTTTAGGGATTAAATGAGCTAATGTGTAGAGACTCAGCATTTTATATTCTACAAAGAAAGCACTATACAAAGCCCAGCTTTTTGTGTTAACTTGGGAGACAACAGTCGTTGAGGCACAAGTAGGGAGGGACATATGGAAGCATGAATTTGTTTTTAGGGCCAATGTTTATCCATCTCCCATTTAACATAGCTTGCTGGGCAATGGAGGTGCACACCTTTAATCCCAGCGCTTGGGAGGAAGAGGCAGGTGGATCTCTGAGTTTGAGGTCAGCCTGGTCTACAGAGTGAGTTCCAAACCAGCCAGGGCTACACAGAGAAAACCTGTCTCAGAAAAACAAAAGCAAAAACAACAATAAAAAAGAGATATCTTCATAGGTTCTTACATGGGGCTGGGTTGGCGCTGTATCTGTCATGCTTAACAAAAAAGCCAGCTCTAGGAAAGTTATGACCTTTATTTAGTTTCTCCTCTCTTCCTCCTCCTCCTTTGCCTCCTCCTCCTTCGCCTCCTCCTCATTTTCTTCCTCCTTCTCCTCTTCTTCCTCTCCCTCCTCTCCTCCTCCTCTTCCTCCTCGCCCTTCTTTTATTTCTCTGTTTGATTTTTTTTTTTTGAGACAGGGTCTCTCTATGTAGTTCTGGCTGTCCTGGAACTCACTATGTAGACCAGACTGGCCTGAAGTTCACAAGTTCACCTGCCTCTGTCACCTGAGCACGGGAATACAAGCATCCGTCACCACAGCTAGCTTATCCGCCTTAATTCCTAGAGGAATTTAACACTGCTTTATATATCTCTGTTCCACTTAGTCTCAGCCTGGAGGGGATGGGGGTCTCCATGGAGATGCCAGGGCACAAGCTCAGGTGGACAGCAGGCATGGGATCTTTGTCATGTTGGGCAGTGGGCTTCTCCTCACTGTCACCCCCATGTGTACGTGTATGCATGCATACCATTGTGTCTCCAGTGTCTTGGCCAGTTTCCAGCCCACTCCTTACAGATCTTATGCCTCCCAAAGCTAACAAACACTTGGCTGTTTTTCTCAGGATCTTTAGCTGCCTTTGACAGAAAGGAGGAAACCAGGTAGGGGCACCATCTGGGGGAGGGTTCCTGTTTTGTCTGCAGCCACTCTTAGGAGAGTGATTTTCCCTTAAGGATCCACAAGGGCTCTCTACCCGATGTGTTTTCAGCCTGTCTGGAAGAGCCGTCAAAGGAATCTTTTTCTTCTGAGAATATAATTTCCAAGTCTTTCTCATATTGCCTTTAAGTCCTTCCTCATTCTACAATGTTTGCTAAGAGCTGGCTGAGAACCACACACCCAGGAAGAGCTCTGAGTCCTCATCCAAGGGGAGGCGATGGGGTCCCAGGTCCTGGGGGAACTAGTTTTCCTAGCATCCACCTGGGAGCAAGGGTCACATACCTTCCAGCACTTGGAATCCCACTGCACCGTCCAGGTTGATTGTGGGCAGCCTGTCCTCCAGGAACAAGGTGGCTTTTTCTAACGCAGTCAGGATCAAGCTGGCCATGGTGCCCTGTGCAGTGTCTGGCCATGGCAGTGAGGAGGACTTTGGTGGCAGGGCCAGTAGCAGGAGGAGAAACAGCCTGATCCTTGCCATGACAGACTTTCTGCTGGCGGATGGTCACACCTTGAAGTCCCAGGAACTTTCCAAGATCCTTTAAACACTCTGTTCCCGCCTCTTCCTCCACTCCTCTTACCCAGGAAGACTTAGAGACAAGTGCCAGGGCGGGGTTGCAGGGGTCAGCCACAGGGTCGTGGGCACGGTCAGGCCAGTTCTGGATATGGGGTTTGCTGGTTGTCATCTGGGACAGGGAATCAACCCTTGTCTTTGTTTATCTGGTGTGAGTGTGTGTGGGTACATGTACTTTTAGGGGTGTGTGTATGTGTGTGCACCTTACCTCTGGTATCACTGTGTAAGAGCCATTCACCTTGATTTTTGAGATAGAGCCTCCACCCCCGGCCTGGAATTTTTGAAGTAGTCAAGGCTAGCTGGCCAGTAAGCCCCAGGGATCCTCCTGTCCCTACCATTTCCCTGGTGCTGGGACTACAAGCATATATCATCACGCCTGGCTTTCTACGTAGGTTTGAGGGATTGAACTCAGGTCCTCTTGCTTGTTCAGCAAGCACTTCATTGACTGATCTGTCTCCCCAGCCCCCTTATCTTTCTTGACCTAGTTTTCCACTACTGATCTAGCCAGGTTGACTGAAGCTAAAATAAATCCAAAGTTTGCCTCCCCACTCAGGGTCTTACTATGTAGTCTTGACTGTCCTGGAACTCACTTTGTAGGCTGGCCTCAAACTCAGCAGTCTGCCTGCCTCTCCCTCCCAGGTGCTGGGATTGAAGGCACATTCCACTATGGCCCACAAGTTTGTTTGTTTTAAATGAGTTTGGAAGTAGCTCATTGGCAGGCACACTTATCTTCACAAGCATTCTCAGAGTGGCACTTAACCAGTAGAAACAAAATTCAAGTTATGAAGGTGTGGTGGTTTGAATAAGAATGACCCCCCATAGGCTCCTGTGTTTGAATGCTTGGCCCATAGGGAGTGGCACTATTAGGAAGTGTGGCGTTGTTAGAGGAATATGTCACTGTGGAAGCTTAGCTTTGAGGTCGTTTATGCTAGGCCTAGTGTGGTAGTCTCCTGCTGCTGCCTGAGATTCAAGATGTAGAACTCTCAGCTCCTTCTCCAGCACCTTGTCTGCCTGTGTGCTGCCATGCTTCTCACTATGACAATAATGGACTAAAAACCCCTGAAACTGTAAGCTAGCCCCAACTCTTTCCTTTGTAAGAGTTGTCATGGTCATGGTGCCTCTTCACAGCAGTAGAAACCCTAAGACAGAAGGTGAAGCACAGAGCTGGGTGTGGTAGAGCATGCTTGTCACCACAACACTTAGGAGGGTGAGGAAGGAAGGCCCACTGCAAAACTGAGACCAGCTTAGAATGTACAGTGTGTTCAAAGCTAGCCAGAGCAACTTAGTTGTCCTCACTCAAAAGTTAAAAACACACACAAAAAGTGCTGGGTCAGTGGTAAAGAGTCTAAGAAATAAAATCTAATGGTTCATTTTCAAAATAAAAGTAGTTTAGGTCCAATTACAAATCAACAGAAAGCATTGGACCCCTGCTGGCAGGGTGCTAGCTACTATCATCCAAACTTTTAGTCTAACTACTACCCCCAAAACCAGATGTCTAGAGTGGAAAATTACTACCAGCCAAGGCTGCCCAGTGTTCTACAGGCATGATAAGATCATGTACTCGATAAGCTTTAGCATAAAACGGAATGTAAACCATAGATGAACCTATACATTTTTGTTGAAGAAGACACAATGATAAGAAGACAAATGTATGGGGGGAAAAATAAGACCAGGTTGTATCCTGCTCATGCAGCCAATAAGGAAAGGGGCGTCTTTTAGTCACTGTTCTATTGTTGTGAAGAGACACATGGCACAACAACTCTTACAAAAGAAAACATTTAATTGGGTCTGGATTACAGATCAGAGGTTTAGTTCATTATCCTATGACTTTGGCATCTCCAACATTTTGAGATCTTCAACACAATCTAGGCTTCACTTTCACAGCTTCACCCAAAGGACTCTCTTGATATACGCCTGGACTTAGTGGCTTTCCTTGGCTGTGGAGGGAGAGTCCATATCCCTTTCTTGTATTCTTGACTCTAAAGCCAGAACCCCATGCCCAAAGTTGCCAAGTTTTGCTGCTTGATGGGGCTAGAACTTCCGCCTTCTTCAACTCCATCTGCACCAGCTTTCTGTCATGGTCCCGTCGCTGCTTTAGCTTTTCGTTGATTCCCTGTCACACTTTGGAATTTGATTAGCTTGGCTGGCCTTGCCCTGAGACCACCACTTTCTTTATTCCATTTAGCACCAGGCTTTTCTTTTCTTTTAACTCTTTGAGCATATTTTGAGGTTTTCTGTGCTTAGCTTACTCCTTTTCATCTATATCTATGTAAAAGTGACTACTAATAACCACATGATACAGTCATTACTATGCTTTCTTGAAATCTCCTCCAACAATAGCATTAATCCGAACTCTTCAATTTAGCCCCAGGCAGATGTTTTTGGACAAGAGAAGAAAGAAATCCCTTTCTTCATCAAAATAGTATAAGAATAGCCTCTAGGCCACTTACTAATATGCTTCTGCTTTGAAACTTCCTGATCCAGGCCTTCACAGTTCAAAACACCCTCAGCACTACTGTCTTCCATGCTCCTAATAGCTTGGCCCATTAAGCCCCATTTAAAACATTCAACTGCTTTCCTAATCCAAAGTCCACATTCCACTAACAATCAGTATGGTCAGGCTTGTTACACCAATACCCCACTCCTGGTACCAACTTCTGTCTTTTTCAGTGTTCTGATGCTATAAGGAGACACCATGACTTTGGAAACTCTTATAAAGAAAGCATTTAATTGAGGCTTGCTTACAGTTTCAGAGGCTTAATCCATTATTATTATGTCAGGGAGTATGATGCCATGCAGGCAGATATGGTGCTGGAGTAACAGAGTTCTACATCTGGATCCACAGACATCAAGAAGAGAGAGACCTGGACCTGGCTTGGGCTTCTGAAACCTCAAAGCCCACCTCCAGTGACACAATTCCTCTTACAAGGCCACACCTCCTAATCCTTCTCAAGTAATGCCACTCCCTGATGCCTGAGCATTCAAATATATGAGCTTATGGGGGTCATTCTTACTCAAACCACCAGAGGGAGGAACAGGCTTGCATTAAGATTGTAAGAACTTTTTTTCTGCTTAGTCAGCAGTATGACTTGGATGAGAATGTCCACTTTTGCAAAGCTGTACTTCTGTGCCTTTGCTATTCTTAAGTCTCCAGTGCCCTTATTATGAAGCAAGTCTACAATTCTCACAGTAGTACTTTTTTATCTGGGAAAGTCAGCAACTCTAGAGGACATACCACTATCATTCTCTTATGCATTTCTTTCTTTCTCCCTTTCTTACTGCCCATACTTAAATCTATATTAAAAGTTTTTCTTCTTTCTCCCTTCCTCCCTCCCTCCCTCCCTCCCTCCCTCCCTCCCTCCCTCCCTCCCTCCTTTTCTTTTCTTTTCTTTTCTTTTCTTTTCTTTTCTTTTCTTTCTAACCTATTGCCTATTCTTTCTCCCCCTAAACTGGAGTTTCCTGTTTTCCCTTATAAGCTGGAAGCCAACAAGTCTTAGTGAGCTTTCTGTCTCTGCCCCTCACAGCTGAGATTATAGGCTTTGGGGTGACACCTAGTTTGTCACATAGGTGTTAGGATTTGAACTCCCATCCTCATGATTGTAAGTAAGAGCTCTCTTAACTGCTGAGCCATTTCTCCAGCCTCTTATTTATTTTTTTTGAGTTCTGGTCTTAAATTGCCCAGGCAGGTCTTGAACTCCGTATGGGGTTAAGGATGGTCTTGAGCTCCTGGTCTTTTTCCTTCTCCTCCAAAGTGCTAGGATTATAGGCATACACTATGCTTGGTTCCTTTCATTTATATTTGGAATGTTGTATTCCGTGTGCATGCATCTTAACAAATGAAGGGATAAACATTTTGCTTAATGAATTTTCTCACTGGAAGGTACCGCTGTTAAACAGAACATGACCAGCCCAACACTCTATCGTCCCTTGCCTTCTACCAACGAAGATCAGTTTCCATTTGTAGCCAGTGCTCTCGTTTATACACTCACTCCTCAGGGAATGGCCTCTTTCCTCAAGAAAACTAGCAAAATCATCCACATTGTTTTTATTTATTTAGTATATATATGGGTGTGTGTATTGGGGGGGGAAAGCTGTGTATCAGAGTGTGAGTGTGGAGGTCAGAGGACATAGAGTTTTGAGTCTCTCCTTCCATCATGAGGGTACCTGAGATGGTACCCTATTTTGCCACCAAACATCTTTACCTGAAGAAAACTTCTCATCAGCCTCTCCAAAATTTTATCTCCTTGTTATATTATTAAAGGCAGCAATGGAGAGACGGAAGATGTAAATAAATAGAGGGTGGGTCTCATCTTAGCCGCGACAAGTTCATGTATGGCGAGGGTGCATTTTTGTGTAGATGGCTAAGATACATACAGAAGATGGGATATGGCCTCTTATAGGGGTAGAAATGATTTCACAGACAACTTTTCTTTCACAGAGCAAAAACACAGTTCAGAGAACTTAGCGTGGCTACATCCTACTAATTCTTGGGCTCCTTAAGTAGTTCCTCTAAGGCCGCCTATTCTTTCCAGGCCCCGCCCCTCCGCTCAGAGCCCGCCCCCATCTTCCAGGTCCTCTTTCCTTTTCTTCCAGACCCCGCCTTATGCAAGGTACCGCCTCCTCCTACTTTACTGAGGCGGTTTCACCACTCCGTCTGGGTGTGCGCCTGCGCACAGCGAGGCTTCCTGGTCCGGTCACGTGCTCAGCGCCGGCCGGCCAAGATGGCAGCGTCCTGCGTGGCGCTGCTGGCCGTGGCGCTGCTGCTGCCGGTGCTACTGCTGGGCCTGTGGAAGCGTAGGAGGCAAACGAGCAGGGCCCGGCACGTGGTCGTCGTGGTGCTGGGCGACGTGGGTCGCAGCCCCCGCATGCAGTACCACGCGCTGTCATTGGCCCAGAGCGGCTTTTCT